CCTTGTTCAGCCCCATAGCCACCATGACCCTGTTGTGCCACGTAGCCGCCGCGTCCTTGTTCAGCCCCATAGCCACCACGGCCCTGTTGTGCCACGTAGCCGCCGTGTCCTTGTTCACCTCCATAGCCTCCATGACCTGGATCAGCCCCATAGCCTCCGTGCGCTTGTTGTGCTCCATGATTGCCCTGGCCTTCGGGGTATCGTTGCTGACCTAGATAGTCTTGCTGTCCTCCGTGGTTGCTATATTGACCCGGATATCCGCCCTGCTCACCTAGAACTTATTGTCAGTTCACCCTGAATCAGGCAAAGGAATGGAAGTTACGCCAAGTATACCTGGATATCCAGAGTTTTGATAGCCACCAGACCCTGGTCCTGCGCCATAGCCAAACCCTGAGGTTTGTGGATTCGGTCGGTTCTGGTAGTCTTGAGGATGTTTCTGGCCAGTCACGGCATCTGTGACTTTGTGCAATATGCCTCCTGAAGATGAGGAGTTTTGTTGGTTGTTTGGGCCAGAGAGTTGATCGGTGAATTTCTTCAGGAGATTAGACATGATGGGCAGGTTGAATGTTGATGGCTATGTATTTTCTGACTGTAGATTATGGGGGGTCGTTTCGATGGAGAGAAGGAGAAGTGTAGCAAAGACTCAATCAGTTCTGAAGTGTCCCAAGATTGGACAACAACGTGACGTACGCATGAACCTTGGCAGCCTTGGCGGCGCGCCCATTGTTACTTGTGATAAGAGAACTGATTTGATTCACAATCGTTCTCCCCCTCCGACTTTGCCCTCCTACATCCAACTATCCTTTATATCTCGGAGATCTACTGCGCAGTAGTGATATCGACCTTATGGCTTCGTCTAGACCATCTCTCGCCCTGTGCTTCGCCTGCCGTGCCGGTGACGCTACTTGCAAGAACAGCGTGAAAGACGGCCCTTGTTGCGATGGTATGTCTGTCACTTTCGAGGACAATCATTACTGTTGGCTGATTCATTGTGACAGAAAGCTGCCTCGTGGTTGTAGCACGTCGTGAATGCGACTTAAAATGCGGTCGAAACGAATCATCAAGCTGCTCCAGTGATAAAAGTTGATGAAGCTTCTTTCGATAGCCCAGTTTACTAACTGGTTCAGAATCGACAACCTCCGGTGCCCCCGAGTCCCCTCTCCTTCCCACCCAAATTCGCAAGCGCAAACGTGAAGCTTGCAGCACTCGTTCCAATAGCGTCCGTGAACGTTACCTCGCCACCCTCATCAACGTGGGCCGTATCTGCAAAGAGCTTATTGCGCGCAAACTCGAGCCGTGTTGTGAGGTGGCGCGGCCCGCATCAACTCGGGAGACGACAGCTGATGCCAGGAAGACGAGTTCATTGTCGGCTTTGAGCAAGAAAGCAGATGGTATTGTTTGCGCGAGGAAAGAACGCTGTGGAGACGATGATGGTACAGCTACCTCGAAGAAGGATGAATGTTGTGGTTCTGAGAAGACGACAGGTTATTCTGTCCTGAAAAAAGATGGCTGCTGTGGTACTGAAGGGCCAGGCCATGACTTCAGTGGCACAACGGGAACAAGTGGCTGCCCCGGTGAAAGCAAGGCCGGTCTTTACAATCCTGAGCTGGAACACGTTGGTGCCAAGAATGGCGATCGCATCATTGTCGACAAGAAGTCTCACTGTTCTGTTATCGCAGAGCTGGGCTGCAGCGGTTCTGCGAAGAAGGACCACAGCTGCGATTTCAAAAAGGTTCGCTTTGGCGAGAAGCTGAAGAAGTGCTGCTGCCAGATCGCACCTTGCTCCGACAAGTCTGACTGCTCCGAAGGTACAAACATACTCCCCGAAATGGAGCTATACGTAGGTAGTTCTGGGCTACTGTATAATCTCCAGCTTGCCACTTTTTCATAAGCCTTCCACCCTTGAAGATCTATTCAATTTCCTCTGTCCTGAAATACAGTACTGTAAGGAATTTCTAACCTATACTTCATTCCTTCCGTTTATTTTGTTTTACAGGACTTCATTTTTACGAGGCCGAGAGCGTCAATTCATGATTGCGCATATTTCTTTTCGTGTTGCAAATTTGTCGAAGGGATGGGCAATGGCTTGTGCTTAGTACTGACGAATGGTCGGTAGGAGCAACTGTGGCAGATCCCAAATATGAACAAGGTGCGCTAGCCAGATCACGTGACCCTTAAGGTCCTCAAAAATGGCCTTGGCATACATGTTACTTCATATATACAACCATCTACCAAATTTATTTTGAGCACATATATCCTATTTGTTGCCTAGGGAGGACTTCAGAATCGCATCGCATAGCCTCTCGAAGGTTATGTATTTGACAGCAAATTTCAGCCAAGTAAAGAATGCAGTGGGAATGTTTCCCTGCACCGGAACAATGGACTTGGGTCAGTACAAGCAACCTCCACGACACCTCTCACTTGGAACAATGAGCCATAACCGCATCGACACCGGGTGGCAACATCAGTTTCTCCCCTTCACTTTCGGCTGGGTCAACGCCGCGACGATAACCGGCAGTACGCTGACCATCTCGCCGAGACCAGCATAAGCAGGGGGAATGCGAACTTTGACAAAAGCTCCCGATGCAAGCAGAATGGCAACCACATTGTACACGGCTGACCAGACAAAGTTGAAGGTGATGCGTCGATAAGCGGCCTTCGAGACATCGAGCAGGCTGACCACCCCGTCGAGATTGCGGAGGAGGACCACGTCCGCCGTGGCCCGCGTGATATCCGAAGAAGACTCGATTTGAACGCCAACGTTGGCTTGAGCCACGGCCACAGCGTCGTTAGTACCGTCTCCGCAGAACAATGTGATCTTTCCAGAATCCATGAGTTCGCGGATATACTCCTGCTTCTGTGCTGGAGTTCTTTCAGCAGCGACGTTCTCCAAGGGAATTTGAAGGTCGGCGGCTACGCCCTCAACTACCCGACGAGCATCGCCACTCACAATGTGAACGGCGATTCGCCGCCGATGAAGCTCTCGAACAACACCAGTCGCTCCCTCACGCAGCCGGGACTTGAGGCCGAAGATTGCACCCAGTTGGCCGCCGATCGTCACGCAGAGCATTGTCAACCCTTGTGCAGCGAGATCAACCACCTGAGGTGTATCGCTGATTTGGAGCCACTTCGCGTTCCCAGCACGGATTGTCATTCCGTGCCATTGCGCTTCGACTCCACAGCCTGGAATGGAAGTGAGTGCATCGACCTTGATGCTACGTACACCCCTCGCGTCCAGTGCCTTGACCACAGCTTCGGACACGGGATGCTTGTTGCTCTTCACGAGTGTCATGACCATAGACAGCATGGTGTCTTGCTCTGCGTTGTCCGTGAACAAGACCAACTCCTGCACAACTTCGAGGTTCGGCTCAGTAAGCGTTCCTGTTTTATCGAACACCACATCGGTAACTTTGAAACCGCGCTCAATGACATCTGCAGTTTTGATAATCACGCCTCCACGGGCAGCCACCCCTCCCGCTATCACCAGGACCATGGGGACCGCCAAACCTAGCGCGCAGGGGCAGCTAATGGCCAGCACGGCTATACAATAGCCTATGGCAGTTCCGATAGCATCTCCCGCAGGCTCTTTTCGAACCTTCAGAACAACCACGACCCAGATCACAAAGACAATGAGTGCTGCTATACACACCACTGGAATGAAGTATCCAGCTATCTTGTCGGCCAAGTCTTGGACGCGCGGCTTGAAGCTCTGCGCCTGCTCGACCAGGTTGGCGATATCGGTAATGGTGTTCTTCCCTGGCAAGCGAGACACACGTGCTGTCAATCTTCCGCCACCATTGACAGTGCCTGAGACGACGGGACTTCCAGCAGTTTTGAAAACAGGAACACTCTCGCCTGTGAGCATCGACTCATCTACCTCACTTGTGCCTTGCATCACTTCAGCATCGGTAACGATCTGTGAATGCGACAATATCGCGATCTTGTCCCCATATTGAAGTAAACGGGCATCAATCTTAACGATTCGGTCTGTGTCCTGGTCAATGAGCATGGCTGTCGATGCCTGCAGAGACCTCAACGACACCGCCTTCACTGCTTGTTTACGAGCCCAAGCCGCAAGAAGTCGACCAAGCAGAATCAACGTGATTAGCAGCGTACTAGTCTCGAAGAAGGGTTTGGTCGTCAACTCGATGCCAGCGAAGTAGAGTCCAGTGGCGACGATGGAATACACGTACGCAGCTGTAATGCTGATAACCACAAGCATGTCCATTTCGACGACCTTGTTGTAGATCAAGGACGATATGGCAGGGATGTAGAATTCTGGAACGGCGATTGCTTGAACCATGGTGGCGAGGACCACGGCAACGGTCAAAGTGGTATGCTCGGAAACGCCAGAAGGACGCCCCCACTCGAGTACAACAACTGGTACTGTCAGTATGAAGGCGGCAGTGGTCAAGGCAAGGACTCGAACGAGCCTGCGCTTTCCTTGATCGAGGTACGAGTCGCTGCGGAGAGGTCCAAGTTGAGCATCGATACCATTGAGCATGTCTCTGGCACCAATGACGCAAGGATCATAGCTGATTTCATATGTTGTCTTGGAAAGCTTTTCGCAGCGCTCGACACCACGCGGTAGGGAGTTCTGGAATTTGATTGCTTCTGCTGCCGGCATTGTGACGTCGATACTCTGGGTATCGGAGGAGAATGGTCTCAGCTTGTACCCTGTGGCTCGCTGAGCGTTGCGAATCACTTCATCTAGGGTACTGATTTCGGTGTCGAGGTCGAATTGGGCAGTTCCACCGATGAAAATGACCTTGACATTCCTGGTGCCTGCTACACCTCGAATCGCTCTAGTCAAATTGTTGGCACAACCAGAGCAGTCCATCCCTGTGACATTGAGAAGGATATGCGACAGCCCTCCTGCCTTCTCGATGTCAATTGAAGTCTGTTTTGTGACGGTCTCGCGTGCAAATCGAGTCCCAAGGAGAGTCTCATGGCTATCACAACATTTGATCTCAGCTCCGGCTGATGCCAATTTCTCTGGCACCTTCTTGCCACGACGGCGAGACAAGACGGATCCGTGCTCTTTCACGTCGAGATGGTGGTTACGGGAAGTGCTGAACGCAACAACGCCGCCGGCCGAAGACTGTGGGCGGCAGGTCTCGATTCGCGCAGCCGGAGAAAGAATACTTCGACAGATGCACCTCGCTGACTCCAGGTATGTAGCATATTTTTCCATGGCAGCTTTGAGGTGAACGTTGCAGGGTTCACCAAAATGTTTCCCGTCCTCGCCGTTGGCGTGTTCATGCGCTGCGCCACTGTGGACATGCTTGCTCGCCTTTGGCACTTGGGCGTGGTTATGGATGCGGTCGTGAGCGTCATCGCAGCTATCATGGTGAGTGGTCTTCTCGTCTAGCTCGTGGCTGTCTGTGTCACTGCAGCAATCCTCCTGCTGATCGGCCCAAGCCAAGGAGCACTCGATAGCTGCAGCAGTCTTGATGCAATTTTCTGCAAATTTTTGTTAGCCAAACTTCTAGGCGGCATACTGGGTTAGTACCATTGCACTGATCGTCCTCATTGCACTGATCCATGAAGTCTTCGTCGACTTTCAATTCTGGCTTGACTGAGCTTGTCGAATTACAACATGGGCCACATTCGATCGATGCCGACGGCTTTGGCAACGGGCCTTCACAGCAATCACCGGTACCGTCGGGAGTTTTACCAGCACAGTGGGATACCATATTGATAGACTTACAAGTCTTTGGAATTTCCTTCGAAGTGAACATGAGACAGGTTCTGACGGTAAGGGATGAAAGTGATGATAAAGAGCGAAGGCTCCTGTCACCGGTTTTCGGGCATGGGTGAGTGGCACAAGAGCCTTTCACTTCCGCTACAATTCTAGGCTGTACTTGGCAATTTCAACCGCCGCCTACGCAAGCCACTTGGCACCGCACTTCAATCTTGCGACACTTCTACTGGCCGAAGTCGTTCTCAATCAACAACATGAGTGGTGCACAGCCTACCTACCAAGAAATGGCAATTGCGGTAACAAGATGCACGAAAGAAAGAACAAGCACGGTCTGAATTGCCGAGCGACTGCTCCATTCACCCAACATGTCATGAGTGAGAAGTTGCAATGACCTGAACCCAAGGTTAGTGATGACACAATAAATTACTTCCCTTTGAAAACAGATGAGTGCCGCCAATGCAATTTCTTTCTACTAGACTACAGTACCACGGCCCGAGTATCGACAGGCCTACGAAGCCCACGAACAAGGTTCGACTTTGAGCCATTTCCTGTTTCAATTTGCACGATCACGTGACGCTCGCGTTCGAATTTTCGATGTTTTCACTACGTGTCGCGACGTTCTCCTTCCTGCGATCTCGTGTGTTTGACGGCCACGTAAACTAGCACAGTCTGCTGTCCGGGGTTCAGGATGTCTCTGCATCTGTCCAAAACGACCAAGTGGTCTTGCTCCTCACCATCGATATACTCTTTTTCCTGGTGGAATTGACTGTGGGCAAGTTTCAAGCTTGTGACAGCTTCCCAGCCACGCAAGCTGACCAGCTTTGTAGGATTTGGCGTTCACTCCCTCGCACTCGTCGCCGATGCCTTCCACATGGTCTGCAATCCCAAACAGCTGCCTCATAGACTTCTTGTTGACCATTTCCTTCAGTTCAATGACGTCCTGTCATTGCTGGTCGGCCTCTGGGCTATCCGCGTCGCCACAGGACGTGAGGCAACTAACGTCTACACTTATGGGGTATGTTCTCCGCCTGCTGTCTACAAGATTGTGACCAAACTGAGACGCCATAATTATAGTGGCAACGCGCTGAGACGCTTGGTGCACTGATAAACGGAGTGTTTCTCGTTGCTCTCTGCATGTCGATATTTCTCGAGGCAATCCAACGTTTCGCCGAACCCCAAGAAGTTTCCAACCCGATATTGATCCTCATAGTGGGCTGCACTGGCCTGGCCTCGAACTTCCTTGGCATGGTCCTCCTACACGAGCATGAGGAACCTAAACCAGGGGCAAACAATATAGCCGACACATTGTCCGATCAGGACGAAATAGATGGGCAATCGGTGCCACAACAAGCACGTGGGTTTAGGCGGGCTACAACCTTGTCGCAGATCTCCGTGCATCCGACAGCTTTGCGCGCGGATATCATTGCTGCTGGCCAGCCACACGCAGTCCCTGGTAGTAGCGAGCAGCACGACGAAAATACACCACTGCGCACGGGTCAGTCGCCTGGGGCTTCATCTGAAGGCCAGGCCGAAACTACGGATCTGCACAGCGATCATATCCACAAGCGCCAGGACCGCAGCAAAGGAAAGGGCAAAGGCCACGACCTGAATATGACAGGCGTGTTCTTGCACGTTCTTGGAGACGCTGTCGGCAACATCGGCGTCATCGCTTCGGCCTTGTTCATCTGGTTGACCGATTTCAGCTGGCGTTTCTATGCCGACCCAACTGTCTCCGTGATCATCACAGCCATCATCCTGCATACGGCCATCCCACTGTGTACTGCGGCATCGCGAATCCTACTCGAGGCCGTTCCCGAGGGAATCAATATCGACGAGATCAAGCAAGACATCAACACTCTCCCTGGCATTGCGGATTGTCATGCGTTGCACGTCTCGCAATTGAGCGATTCGAATGTGATTGCTACGGTCCATATCAAAGTCGACTACAAAGTCAACAAGGACAGTCATGAACAGTACATGCGGCTGGCGTCCGCTATTCGAGATTGTCTGTCTGCTTATGGGATACACAGTGCTACCATACAACCAGAATTCTTTGCATCCGCAGCCGAAAGGTCGTCCGCACACGGGAACGCGCACCGCGCAGCACTATCGTGATCTTGAGTCCACAAGCATCATTGAACATCTGCTGGTATATTCGTAGCTTGTTGGGTTCCTTTGAGGTTACAAATGGGTTGCGGAAGCACAATAGAGGGCTTCAACATGTTCGCCTTAATTTTGAATGAATGGAACTTTAGGCTAGCTAAACTGACATCTCGAATCAATATACTGTTTCATCTCGAAGTAGCCAGAGCACTGACACGACGAAGCGACCAATCGCACAATCAGCCGCTGATGCAGCATCTCTGTTCAGATGCAGTTGTGCCAAATCAACTGGACAGTTAATCAGTTCGGACGTTGGGTGAATCAAGGTACTGCGAGACATAAGTGGACCTTGTACGAGTGAAATCAATGTTGGCCGTGTCCATGCTGATCATATGGACGTTGCTCGTATCCGTGAGAGCTGTTGCCATGCTGCTGATACCCTTGAGGATTGTTGCCATGTTGCTCGTACGCAGAGGGGTTGTTGCCATGCTGACCGTATCCTTGTTGGTCATGTCCAGAGGGCCTGCCGTCATGCTGGCCATACTCACGTTGCTCATAACCAGGTCCCCCAGCACCATAATTATGCTCGTCGCGACGCTCGTAGCCATGTTGGCCATAGGCGCCCGGTTGGTTACCATGGCCGTCCTGCGCTCCGTAGTAAGGTGCCTGGGTCTGTGGAGGGCTGCCATACATTCGCGGAGGACCTCCGTGCTCGTATCCACTCCCATAGTGCTGATCTCTACCTGGATACCTAGGATCATAGGATCCCGAATGGGCTTCAGCAGGACGACCCTGGTAATTGCCTGGGTAAGGGCCACCCATCTGCCCATATCCACCACTTGGCTGGTAATGACCCGTTGGACTTCCGGAGTGCGGCATGTTTTGGTAAGCTCCTGGGCCACTCATGTTGCCAGGAAAGCTACCTGTCACATATGTATGTCAATAAGACCGTCTGAAGAGGCTGCAAGAGGCCATCGCATACCGTAGGGTGGTTGATTTTGTTTCTCTCCAGGGTGATTTTGTCCAGTGACTGCGTCCGTGATCTTATGCATCAAACCTGAACTGCCCGGAACCTTGGCCCTGATCCTGGCCTGGTTTTCCACCAGCTAATTTTCCAGCCATTTTGAGGAAATCCATTGTGCTAAGTAATGATGACTATAGGTGTGAAATTGCAAAGTTGGATGCAAATTGATAATTGGATTGATGATGGCAAAATGTGAGCAGAGGAAGCAGCGGTCAGAACCAGTAGTCGAGGAAGTTTTAATAGGCTTTAGCTCTGCTGCAACAGGCAGGGTACTAAACTGATCCCGGACCAGATTTCCTTGATCCCGGTCTGAGGATTTGGACGGGGTCTTCGGGCAGTCCTTTGGTTATCTAGGCCATGTTAACCCGCACTACAAAAGGCAGAAGACCTGCACTGTCGGTCATTTCAATCGTGCACGTCTTTGTATCACAATGTCTACTCAGGTTGTGCGGTGTCGATGCCTGCAAATCCGGGAACGAGCAACGTGTAGTCCGACCTAGGTGCCGAAATCCTTCAGGCGGCAAAGCGCCGGATGGTCAGTTAGTGAACATTTGCAAAATTCATTTCCCTGGGCATGGACGCACTTTTATTCCGCACGTCTCCCAGTCCGCCATCAGAGTGAAACCCATTGATCGAAGCATATTCATGTATATATGAACAGGGCACTGGAAATGCCATCCATGCGTTTTTTGCCCTAAAGTTACCACACTATACTGTTTCATCTCGAAGTAGCCAGAGCACTGACACGACGAAGCGACCAATCGCACAATCAGCCGCTGATGCAGCATCTCTGTTCAGATGCAGTTGTGCCAAATCAACTGGACAGTTAATCAGTTCGGACGTTGGGTGAATCAAGGTACTGCGAGACATAAGTGGACCTTGTACGAGTGAAATCAATGTTGGCCGTGTCCATGCTGACCATATGGACGTTGCTCGTATCCGTGAGAGCTGTTGCCATGCTGCTGATACCCTTGAGGATTGTTGCCATGTTGCTCGTACGCAGAGGGGTTGTTGCCATGCTGACCGTATCCTTGTTGGTCATGTCCAGAGGGCCTGCCGTCATGCTGGCCATACTCACGTTGCTCATAACCAGGTCCCCCAGCACCATAATTATGCTCGTCGCGACGCTCGTAGCCATGTTGGCCATAGGCGCCCGGTTGGTTACCATGGCCGTCCTGCGCTCCGTAGTAAGGTGCCTGGGTCTGTGGAGGGCTGCCATACATTCGCGGAGGACCTCCGTGCTCGTATCCACTCCCATAGTGCTGATCTCTACCTGGATACCTAGGATCATAGGATCCCGAATGGGCTTCAGCAGGACGACCCTGGTAATTGCCTGGGTAAGGGCCACCCATCTGCCCATATCCACCACTTGGCTGATAATGACCCGTTGGACTTCCGGAGTGCGGCATGTTTTGGTAAGCTCCTGGGCCACTCATGTTGCCAGGAAAGCTACCTGTCACATATGTATGTCAATAAGACCGTCTGAAGAGGCTGCAAGAGGCCATCGCATACCGTAGGGTGGTTGATTTTGTTTCTCTCCAGGGTGATTTTGTCCAGTGACTGCGTCCGTGATCTTATGCATCAAACCTGAACTGCCCGGAACCTTGGCCCTGATCCTGGCCTGGTTTTCCACCAGCTAATTTTCCAGCCATTTTGAGGAAATCCATTGTGCTAAGTAATGATGACTATAGGTGTGAAATTGCAAAGTTGGATGCAAATTGATAATTGGATTGATGATGGCAAAATGTGAGCAGAGGAAGCAGCGGTCAGAACCAGTAGTCGAGGAAGTTTTAATAGGCTTTAGCTCTGCTGCAACAGGCAGGGTACTAAACTGATCCCGGACCAGATTTCCTTGATCCCGGTCTGAGGATTTGGACGGGGTCTTCGGGCAGTCCTTTGGTTATCTAGGCCATGTTAACCCGCACTACAAAAGGCAGAAGACCTGCACTGTCGGTCATTTCAATCGTGCACGTCTTTGTATCACAATGTCTACTCAGGTTGTGCGGTGTCGATGCCTGCAAATCCGGGAACGAGCAACGTGTATCAGACTCGGTCCGACCTAGGTGCCGAAATCCTTCAGGCGGCAAAGCGCCGGATGGTCAGTTAGTGAACATTTGCAAAATTCATTTCCCTGGGCATGGACGCACTTTTATTCCGCACGTCTCCCAGTCCGCCATCAGAGTGAAACCCATTGATCGAAGCATATTCATGTATATATGAACAGGGCACTGGAAATGCCATCCATGCGTTTTTTGCCCTAAAGTTACCACACCTCTGGCACGTGGTATGACAGCGAACAACTTTTTGTAGCTGGCTTTCCGGCCTTTCGGTGACGTTTGTCTCAATAGATATCTCCTTTCGTCTTAGGTTACGCTTGAGGCAACGCCTTACACCTAGCTTTCTAAGCATTAGTTTGGCAGAATGCCTTCGGCCGCTTAAGATGTCATGGTTACTGCATCCCTTGTGCTAGAATATATTCTCCTCTCGTTTATATACCCTCTACAACCGATAATAATCATCCTGAGCTAAATATCACAAGTCTCTTCCAGCTGCGATCTCTGCCTAACTGGATTTGAAAGCCCTGCTGTGCTCTATCTCTACTCTGTCTTCCTGGATGCTCTAAACCCAATGACGGGAATGTCTGTCCTCATAACCAGACTCGAGGATATGACGCTCAGAGAACTCAACGCCATGGCTAGGCTCGCCCACACAGGGTTCAGCTTCGGGTGTCCGGGTGCCGGATAAATCACTCCTGCCGCGATAGGTACCAAGGCCACGTTGTACACTAATGCCCACGCAAAGTTGAACTTGACTCTCCGGAAAACAGTGCGGGAGAGGGTGATAAGAGTCAACAAGGAGTGCAGGTTTGAGGACACGAGCACGAATTTGGCACTTGATATAGCAACATCTGAACCAGAGCCGATGGCGATTCCGGCGTCCGCGGCAGTGAGCGCGGGAGAATCATTGATGCCGTCCCCAACCATAGCCACCATTGCTCTTCCCGCCTTGCCGTTGCGTTTAGGGGCGGAGTCTTGTAGCCAACGGATCCGCTCAGCCTTTTCCGAAGGGAGAACACCGGCAATGATATTGGTCGCCGGGATACCTAGCTGATGCCCAACTGCAATAGCGGTTATGGCATTGTCGCCTGAGATCATCCAGATGCCTAACCCTTGCTCACGTAGAGCAGAAAGGACGGAAGCAGCTTCAGGGCGGAGAGAATCTGTGGTTGCAAACTGTGCAACAAGTTTGAAAATGGCTTCGTCCCCGTCTGAGAGGGACAATGGACGCAAAGCCAGAAGAGCGACGCTTTTCCCAGCGGATTTCCATGTCGACATAATGTTGGAATGGTCTGTGGTTATCGGAGTGCCAAGGGAGGAGACGAAAGCTTCACTGCCGATGGCAGCCTCATACCGGGTGTCATTGCCGGATGCGTGGATGGCAAATATGCCTTTGAGACCGCGACCAGGGAGTTCTTCAATGGCAGAGTCGGCGATGGTAGTGCGGCTTTGTCCTCCGCAGAGCCCAGCAATTGCTTTTGCTATGGGGTGACTTGAAGACTCTTCTAGTGCTTGCGCGATTGCCCAGATGGCCTTCGTCTCCTCCTCACCAGAAGCTATGATATCATAGTTTGTAACAGTCGGGTTTCCGCCTTCGGTGAGCGTGCCGGTTTTGTCAAAGACAACCACATCCAGATCCGAAGCTTCTTGAAACGCTTCTCCGCCACCTTTGACCAATATTCCGTGCTGCGCCGCTAGTCCAGAACCCACGAATAAAGCTGTTGGGGCCGCAAGGGCAATGCCGCAGGGGCACGCACCGACAAAGACTGCAATGGCAAACTGTAATGCCCAGAATGCCCAGCCACCTGTGTCGACATCAAGCCAACTCTCCGGCAGTGCCCCGCCCTGACCTAGTCCAAACCAGACAACAAACGTTGATACGGCAATGAGGGTAATAACTGGAACGAAGTATCCCGTCAAGATGTCAGCCACTCTCTCCACTGGCGCTCTTTTTGCCTGTCCTTCACGAACAACTTTGACGATTTGGTCAAGCATGGATGCTCCTGAGACTTCAGTGACTCGAACATTGATCGGTTTACCGGTGTTGATTGTTCCAGCAAAGACTTGATCGCCAGTATTCTTGGTAATAGGCCGAGACTCTCCGGTCAAAGAGCTCTCATCGAAAGTGGAATCGCCCAAGACAATTGTGCCATCAGCTGGTGGAGATACGCCATAAAGTACTCGGACAACATCTCCGACTTCAAGAACATTGACATTGATTCTCTCGCAGTTGGTTATCGGAAGAGATAACTCGCTATCTTCCGATTCCGGATTAGATCTCACAAGCAGAGCTTCGGTTGGCCGGAGCTTTCCGAGCATTGTGACAGCATCACCGGCTTTAGACTTACTGTACGCTTCTAAGTAACGTCCAGCGAGAATGAACATCGTCAAGAACACGACCGTGTCGAAGTATGTCGATAGTTGCCTGTTGTGTTGCCGAGTTTTTTGCGATTCTAGAGCAAGCACGGCGATCGAAGGGAAGTACGCCACCGACGTCCCAGCGGACATGAGCAGGTTCATACTTCCGAAACGGTAAAATCTTCGAAGAACCGGGACTTTGCTATTTCGGCTCCACAGTGCCCGGATCTCCTTGATTGCCCTGACGTGGAAGACGTCGGCAGCGAGGAACATCACAGGCGTCGCAAGGAAGAAAAGCGCCCACTCGGCGCGAGTGTCGGCGCCAGTCCACATATTTTGTTGGAAGAATATTCGTACGCGGTTGGTCGAGGGAACTAGGCTCATCCAGACCACACTGATAAGGAAGGTTGGAATGGCGACGATAAAGCTGAGAAGAAGCCGCAGGAGTAGACGACGCCGTTCGCGGAGCTGCATAGTTCGAGAGCGCTCTTCGATCGTTGGAGGATGGTATATTGTGGCTCTGAGTTGGTCGCTGACACCATGTATGGTAGCTAGGATACTTCTGATAGTAATGATGCCAGGTTGGGGACGATATGTAATCACGACGATGGGGTCATCGTACGACGGCGGCTTGTCGATAGCAAGTCGTCCCTGAAACGGTGATGACAAGGCTTCGATAACCCGTCGTGGGCATTGATCGGAGAACATTCCTGCTATTCTGATCATGATTGTCCTTTCCACTAGCTGTTTTGTTTGCTGTGGTTGTCCAATTTCAACGACGCTCTCGACGTGGCAGTCGTATCCTCTGTCTTCGATTCTCTCTACAATCTGATCGATGTTATCCTTCGGGCCGGTAAAGGTGACAGTTGCGCTATTGGTAAGTAAACTGACGCTGACATCCGTCAAGAATTGGAGTCCCTGCACCCCTTCATTAATGGAGAGGATGCATGCCGCGCAAGTCATCCCAGTGATACTGAGAGTGGCTGTAAACTTTTGCGCCTCAGGGATGGTCACGATAACATCCTGAGATGTCTCGGCTTTTTCGTTCGCCTTTTGACAAAGAACACAGTGGTCTAAATGTTTCTCATCAAGTTGGTAGCCGGCATCGTCTCGTAATTCATGATGTGCTGCCGTCTGGTGCCGCGACAGAGTTGATGCTTGTTCGCTCAGCATCTGAGCAGCCTGCTCCAACCATGCTTGATGGGTCTGGACTAAATCTTGCTCGTAGATAATATGGCCAGATTCATCTTCGGTCTGCACACTCTGCACTTCGAATGCTGCGTCTGATAAAGCTCGAGCTATGTCAGTTGCAGAGTGGTCGGGAAAGTGGACTATCGTCACCTCGTGTGATATATAGTTCGCGGTAATCGTTA